TGGATAGTATATGTTCGTAGTTTCTTGCGTTTTTAGTAATTAATAGGGCCATTTCTGATTAAAAAATAATAATATGTAGATTTTTGAAATCAGAAAAAAATGCTCTATCAAATGGCACAAAAAGTAAAAATGACTTCCATAAGAAAAATCAAAGTTGATGATGGTTAACCGGAGACGAAACGTCAGACTTAAAATTTAAAACTAGCATCTTGTAGAGGGAAAAAGTGCCATAATAATGTGTCATTCATTTTGAAATATTTTTTTGAAATAACTTTGATATAGATTAAAAGCGATTTTTTTTGGAGAAACGATTTAAAAATTTAGGTAATAGTTGAACTTTGGTTGATGCTGTATGGTATATTGTAGTGTCAAGAAATACCTAGAGCCAATTTTGGTAAAATCCGATTTTTAAAAAACTGGTATTTCAAAAATTGGCCAATTTTTGGTACGTTTTAAACACTGATTGATGTTTTACAATTTTTAGGGAGAGGGGTAGTGGATTTTATCGTTCCTTTATGAGCCCCAATGCATAAAAAGAAGTTAACTCAGTTTTTTAGAAAAGTTGGCAAAAATGGGTGTTTTTTGATCGCTTATAAAAAATTTTCTATTGGATCGATTTTGTTTTGTTCATCCTTTGTTCGAGGCAGCTTTTTTTACTCAAGAAATGTTATTCATAAAAAATGGTCCGTTTTCGATTTTTTAGCGAAAAAATGAAAAAAAGTCCAAACATTTTGAGGTTTTTTGGCTCCAAAAGTTGTGCCGGGATAAAATTGGTGTGCAGTCTTCAAATACATGTTGTTTGGACAAAAATAGACCATTTAAAACAATAAAATCTTTTACACCACCTTTTGCAGGTCGAAATTATCTGCATACTGGACAATAAATGAAATTAAAACTCAACATTTTTGCAAATACTAATAGCTAACATCTAAGTTTATTAATTTTGCTGAAAAAATAACACGAAATCCGAATATTTTCATAAAGTTTTGCGAATATTCCTTTGTTTGTGTATTTTTAAGAACGCCCATGAAAAAACTAATTAGACTCGAAAGTTCTGAAGCGTATTTAAAATATCTTCCTAAATTAAAACCTCAAATTCTGAAGAAATGGTTCAGCATTCATCACCTTCCAATTTCTAATTAAGTCTTTTAGTCTTTTTTGGAAAACCACAAAAAAAACGCTAATCAAATTAAAAATCTCGAAATAAATTAATTGATCGAATGAAAAGTAAAAATTCCACGAAATTATGCAACCATCTCGAAAGGTTAAAAGTAAATCACAGCATCCGTGAAAGGAACAAGAAAATCGACATTGATTCGCCTTAACCTAGATACAAGCCACACGGGACATTAGCAAAGATAAGAATTCATTTAATTTAATCAAGATACACACCACACGAAGGTAGGATAAGAACCACTTTACTTTAGCCAAGATAAGAATCCACTCAATTCACAATTGCAAGGTGAATTTGTTTTTCGAGAGCGTTTTGTTCAAGAAATACTTTCTAATTCCGGTACCTACACTTTGAAAAATGAGGATTTTCAAGAACTGGGAAAACAATATAGGTACAGGGTGTTCATGAGAAATACGTTAATATGTTATAGATTTGTTCATTTTAAGCAGAAAAGTGCCTAAAAACATGTGCCTTTTAAGAATTGGATTTTTAGGAACAAGTGTGTAACATATTAACGTACGTACCAGCCCCCATGAAACACGCTCTATGTAAGTGCAGAGGATTTTTTATCGCACGCTTTGCTTTGCTTTATTCGGACTCCTCCATACAATTAATATTTACATAGGAATCTTTTTTTTGGCTAATTTGAAATGAATAATTTGTCTTTTTTTATTAGTCGCGAAGGGTTTTTGCTCTTGCGCTGCCTTTTCACCCGGATTACTTAACTATATCGTGTAGCTAAACGATAGCAATATCTTATACCTACTGTTGATCTAAACCCATACAAATAAGAGGGTATTGTCAATAGTGTGAGGTTGATTACGATATAATTGGTTAATATTAACGCAATAGATAATGAAATAAAAACGCTAATTAAGATACTAGGCCAATAAATTCCCCAATCAGTTCCATAAAGATGAGAATCTCCTGGTGTTCGCCCACCAATTGATCCGATTGTCAGAATTTTAATTAAATCGAGTGCCGAAATAATCAATCGATCAAAATCAAAGTCTAATCTCAAAGAAATAATTCAATTACATACGTCAAACAACGCGCGAAATCAATTAATTGATCAAATTCCACGATATTATTCAAAGTTCCCAGAAATAATCAAAATAAGTTCCTAAAACTCCCTCACCCACCTCACGAATTAAATTAATAACATCCAAGATGGCCGCAGAAGTGCCAGTGTTCTACTTACAATCGGTAATTCGTTAAGAAATGAAATCTTTTGTGTACAGTGTAAGTTATGCATTTCATTGTCATATTGTGGTCATTCCGACTTTGTACACTATACCATCTCAGCATTGAGAGAACGAAGAAAGTCTCAAATGAAAAAAATGTCAATGCCTGGGCAAGCGCATTCCCGATTAATTTTTGTTTAGAAACACAAAAACCCACAAAAAATCTCGTTAATAATCCAAACGCGTTTTGACAGCAAAGTGGTAATCATAAGCAAATACTGACTGTTGCTGATAATCGTATGCATGTTTGCTGGATATCATTTTATCTCCTATTAAGAACTGGTATTATAATTGACTGTTACAGTCGAAACCGTATCTCGAAGATACGGTAGACATATTGCAAGACAAGCAGGACCAATTTTTGCGTTAAGAATTTATTCGCCTTTCTATCACGTGCGTCTCTTGCGGAACGAGGTGAACTCCTGACAAATTGAAAGGGCGCGAACGATAAATAATTTTGTATCATTTGTCTATACGTTTCGTTCTTTCCAAAACGATTACGATTAAATCAATCATACACCTCAACCGTAGGATTAAAAGTAATTTCCAATTAATTTTCGGAACGTAACAATATTGAAATTGTGGACTATGCTAAATGAGCTAAATCCGCTCCAGATAAATTACATGTTTGTCGCACACTAGAATACCTACCAAAATCAATTAATTAAGCTTGATATTTTAAAACAATTAACACGTTATCTTTTAAGGCATCCAAAAACGTTTGGTCACCGCGTAATAAATTTCCGTCGTCACATTTTTGTCTGAAAAGTTTCTTAAATGAAAACGAAATGATAGTGATCTCAGAAGTTTAATTAATCTAGACGTCCTCATAAAATTGATGTTGATGGGGATCATCCAATTTCATTACTGTTCACTTTAATAAATGGAGAGACACTTCCAAATAATAATCAAGTGTAATGATTAACTTCGTTTTTCTCCGCTCCTGTCGTGTAATACGAAATTTCTAATCAGAAGTTTCTTTAGATGTCATTAATAATTCGCTCATATTTGTGCGCCTCTAATTTTCATCTGTGTCGCTTGGTTTATTGCTTAATTGAATCACATGTATAGTTTGGTTTAATCACTGGCAAATTGATCGTGAAATTGGCAGCGTTTTCCACAGTTTTGAAACAAAAGTTTCAGCTTTGTCATGGAAATACTCAACCAGTATTGGCTTGAAACGAAATACATATAGACATTTGTGGTATCGATTAGTCTGGAAGTTCTAATAATCAAGCAACCTTGTGTGCTGAAAGGGGTGGGAAACTTTCGACATTAGTTCGTAATTTTTGTTCAGTAATAGTAGTAATGTAATCGACCTTCAAACGAATCCAGAGTGAAGATTTCTTTTTCTAACTCAAGTTGGAAAACTCGAATTAGCAGTTCTGTAATTGTTTTGTAAAAGAACGTGCAGGATATCTGAACTTGAAGATGCAAAAGTTTTTAGTTTAACTAGAAACCTCTGTAAATCAAAAAGTGCTGCGTGCTAAGGATGCCAGTACTAATATCCATTAACCCCCATCATTGAATTTTGGTTTATGGTCACCATAATTTATTTTTTATTATACCTGAATCACAATCTCCGTTTTAAACACTCAAATGCGTGCGAAAAAGGGCCTTTAAAACACACGTGCTTTAAAGTTGCTAAGAAACGATACTTCAAGTATGACTTTTGAAACTGTCATCTGGATGAAATAAAAAATCCTCTTAGGTCGCTTTCTGTAAATGCAGAACATTTCTTTGGCTTTTGTACCCTTTGGTTGAAGCTTTCACAAACGCGCGTAATTTAGGGTATGCTTCCAAATCTGTTCCACTTTTTAATCGCAGCATTGCTTTAAAGTTTTGAATGAATGTACCAAAAGATAGAAGATTTAAATACCTTTGACATTTCCTTCATATATGCCAGCATTATGGACGCATTTAAGACTGTATTCGTAAGTAACTTCCTATTCATCCATGGAAACAACTTTTCATATTTTTATAATAGGCTTTACTGGAGTTGGATTTTACACCTACCAACGTTTGTTTAGATTTTACAACAATCGATGTAATGGACGATGTATAATCTTTTTCAACGGAAATCGTTTAATTCACAAAGACGATGATTTTTATAAGCAAACGTCAAGTGACATTTCCATGGCAATCGTGAAATTACGAACACCCAGCCCACTTAATTAGACATGTATTCGAGTATACGTCAATATGACTTCATTGTATTTCCTATTTTTAAATTATACTGCAGGTATAATAAAAAATACTATAAGATACACGTGTATAATTGGTCTTTAAAGCACTTGAAACGTTAAAGGCACTCCGCTTTGCGTCGTGCCCTTAAACTCGTTGCGCGTGCTTTAAAGACTTGATTATACACTTGTATCTTAATATACTAGTTTGAGATTCGCTGGCATACCTAAATTGTCAGGAGTATTTTAATAATCCCGTGCGTCTAATTGCACAAATGATTGAATAGTGGATTTTCGATTTGGATACAAATAGATCAAGGCCCCTCATGCATTACTCAATTTATTATTAAATACCGAAGCATGTAACTCGGGTTTTTGAATCATTTATTGTTGTTCCAGCGGTTTATTGGCATCGAGAAGAGTTCTCTTCCGCAACAGCGTTTATCAAGTTTAAGGTAAGATTTTAACAGTTTTATATTGATTTTGCACCCAATTTCGTTGCGATTTTTGATTCGCAATTTCTGTGAGTAGTTTTGGACATTAATGTGAGTTTTCTGTTATCTTTTGCCGATCATTATTGGATCCGGATATTTGAATTTTCACGGAGTAGGTTTGAAATATTAGATTAATGAATATTCGGGGTTCTTATACACAAACAAAAATAAGCAAAAAGGAAATATAGTAAAAGTAACTCATATAGGCGCCACTTAGTCTTCAGTAAATGTTAGAAAAGAGGAGAGAATACTTGCCAAAAAGGGAAACAAGGCAGACTAAGAGATCCTTGTTCTGGTCTTGAAAAGGTAAAGTGATAAAATACTTGATAGGGATAGAACATAAACAATAATTGACGTCACAGTTGATGGTAGATAATTTAATCAAATGATTTAAAGAATATTATAAATAGGTCACTGTTCTGCTATGCCAATATTTGAATTTAAATTAATTTTTTGTAAAAAGGGGATCAACACGTAGTCGGAGAAAATATTAATATCGAAACAGGGTTCCGCAGAAACAACGGAGCTATAATCGATAAGTGAACCTCAAGCAAATGTAATAATTACAGCACGATTGTATCGAGTACCACAAGTAACGTAATAATTATAACAACGATTGTATCGAGTACCAATATGTAATCAAACGTTAAATGAGAGAATTGACGAAAATAACAAAATTTACCTTTGAATTACGGATCGCAAGCTTTTGAGCTCAGAAGGGCGCGTTCTGCAAATCTGTAACAGATAATAACACAACATACAAATAAAAGGGTTATGAATGGCGCTGCACATAATATTGCGAAATTGCAATGCTAACGTCTGACACGGAGGTGAATCGTATACTAAAACTCTAATTAACACTCAAAAAAATCAATAATTCAAATGACTTTACACTAGCAAAAGCAAAATTTTGATCGACAGGCCGAGTGTATAACACATAAAAGTGACCTCAAATTCTAGAAAAATACTTTATGATGAACAATAACTAAGTTTTTCTGGAATAGTAATACAATCTAATCAATTCAAAAGATAAACAAGATGAGCAGTCTTCAGAGTAAACAAACAACGTAGCTAAGTATCGTAGATATCGGCTTCGGACAATGCTTCGATAACTTCGATCCTCGAGCTTCTTAACTCGTCGCCCTCGAGAATATAAACATCACTATTATGCCCTTAATACATAAATAACTATTATATCATGCCCGTGTTCACTTTTTATTCAATTACAACTTCGGTATAGTAGTGGCTCATGTACGACAAAATATCTAATTTCTATGCCTTGTAATGCAATAGGAATAAGCGTTTTCAGCATAATAAATAACTATAAACTGAGACTATTCCATTCGAGAGAATGAAGCGGGTACGTTTAATTACCGTCAATTTTAATTAAGCACGAAGGGTTCTTTAAATGTTTAATTTAACTATTTCAACTTAAACTAAAATTCTCATCCATACGCTTACTTTATTCTAGTATATCTTGACATATAATAATACTTACGTAAATTGGCTACGAAGTACGGCAGAAAGTCTAAAATTACTTTTTGAACTAAGTTTGTTTATTTTCTAGGATAAATTTTAATTACGAACTTCATCAAACTGCTTTTCAATATTTGCATAGTACGGACCACATTCGCAATTAATAAACAAGTTATTTAACTTAATTTGTGTTTCCGACCATCAAACTGCGGCTGATTTTCTGAATCAAAATGAGGACTTTCACATCGCATGTCTCGATTCGCAATTAACCATTCAAAATTTCTATGTGTACAGGGATATTGATTATAATCTACCCAATGAATATTTTGTTATTATCACAGATAGAGGTATACATTTAACACATTAAATGTAAAAGTTGTTGGAGTGACAAGTCGTCTTAATGTATCTCAAAAACCACAATGGCGTACCACATCTAAGGGGTACAAAAAATAATATATATTTTTTTAACTGAACACCCTGTATTTTATTTCTGAATTCAAAAATATACCGTTGTTGAATTATTGCCTTAACAATTAAAATGGCGGTTATGCTACTTACATGACAAGGCTTGTGTGAAAGAGAAAAAAGAATGACAAGATTGTCCTATAGATTCAAGGTTTGTGCATCCTTCAACCCGCCAACCGTACATTTTAGCTTTTTACAACCTTCTAACATTGATATGTTGGCAATAAACCAAACTTATAAATTCAATTTTTGCTTGAGCATTACGACAGAAAATATCTTTTGTGCAGTTAATCTCGAGCGCCACCAGAAGTTGCTACCCCTTGCTCCTGGTCAAGGTGGCCGGAGTGATATCGGAAGTCAACATAATTCAGTCCAAGAACCGGGGTCAGCATAGGGATGGGACGGGTACACGGATCAGATAATCTACAACAGAACTACGGCCCACGGAAAACAATTTCCCAAAGCGTGAACCGAAAAAAAACTATCTTGATTTCTGGGGAAACAAAACAGAGGAAAGCAAACAGTCCGCTTTATAATCAACGGAAATAAAAGTACTAAAGCAAAAAGATCAAAAAACAAAAAGATGCAAAAATACGGAACAAATGCAAAAGACCCCTTTCATTCCGCTCTCACATTATACAGCGTGTTTCAAAATGAATAGAGGGGTTTTAACATGTTATAATATTTAATACATCAAACTTACAGCCACAATTGTTATATCAAATGAAAGAGAAACTCAAACAGTTTTACATAATAGCCTACAAGTGTTCAATGTGAGCACCATTCGTCACTTGGCATACGTCAAGACGGTATGCTAGTTCTTCCCAAACTTTGATGAGTGTCTCATTAGTAATTGCTGCAACAGCTGTTTCAATCCTGTTTCTTAAATCGGGAAGGTCGGCTGGCAGTGGAGGCACATACACACGGTCTTTAATAAACCCCCAAAGATAAAAATCACACGGGGTTAGGTCGGGTGACCGTGGAGGCCATGCGAAACAAGCCCTGTCATTAGCGCTTTCTAGCGGATTGCGGCGGAAACATACGCACTGATGCCAACAAACAAAAACTGTTTGAGTTTCTCTTTCATTTGATATATCACTTGTGGCTGTAAGTTTCATCTATCAAATATTATAACATGTTGAAACCCCTCTATTCATTTTGAAACACGCTGTATATAAATTCGGCAATTCGGGAAGGGAAACCTGGGTTTTCCAGCTACCACAAGGTACTCGCACACAACTGCTCAAAAGTACAACTCACTGTAATTGATTTTTCTGCTCCTCAATGTTATAAAAATATGGATCTTACCTCAAACAGCATGATAATTATATGCGATTTAAATGACATCAAGCGACGTTTGCTACAACACCTCTCATTAGCTACTTTGACGTTTCTCTTGGATGGCTCCCATATCCGAATGTTCACAGTAAAAGATCAAATCATCGAGGTAAAGCATAGAATTAAATTCGGTACTAATGTTTGAAGTTAATTCGTTTATTCCTATTTGAAATAAAGTGCAATTTGAGACCTCAGTTCTAATAGCTACTTCATTTTTATAAACTGGATATTTTATATATAAGGTCGAACTTGAAGACTATTCAAAAGCAGGCCACTTTAATTTCCGAGTCAGGTAATGACATTTTACGAACGAGTTTTGTAGATATTTAATTTTACCCGAAATCGTCTTTTAATACAAAATTTCAATTTTTATATTTAACTTTTGATTAATGTCAATCTGTCAGTGATGACAGGAGTCATTATAGACATTTGGAAATGTCAAAAATGCGGCCGGTAAAGTAACGGTGCGGCCGGTAAAGTGACAAGCGGCAGGAAACGTAGTCTACTTTGCCTCTGTCATGGAAACTAAAATTTCCTGACAGAAAGTAGGCATCAAAATGAAGGTTACAGGACGATTTTTGGGTAAAATCACTTATTAAGCCATCCTTGCATATTACAATGCACATATTTTAATGATTCGAATCCATTTTCAAAAGCCGAAACATTTCATTCGTCTAAAAATAAATGCGCCTGTTCATCTTATCACAAAGAATAATTGCGATCCCGGCGTCCAATTAAAAAAAGGCACTAAGCACTACAATATTAAAAGGCGCGGAGCTTTTATTCCAAAACGTAAAATGAAATCGGGATGCGTTCCGTTTCCCTTGTAAATTAAAGGGCGTCTAAAATGTGACTAATTATCCACGCGCACGCATTTATTTACACTTTTTACATCAAAAAGTGAGGGGTAATTTAAATAATGAGCAACTAAATTGTAAGATGTGGAATTAATGCGATAAGTTCGAAATATAATGGGGAAAATTTTAATACTTTACCGGCGCAAGAGTTACGAATCTTTGTTGAATATAATTACGCCGCGGGTTGAAAGAACTTTTAAAACAAGAAGAGGCAACTTGACTTACTTCCTAATGATCTGTATAATGGAAACTAAGTCGATGTTATATACACCTTGCTCATTAAATAATTTTTTGCTACTCGTAATTGTCGCCGTTTCAGAATGGGGGATTCTCGTCACCGGCAAGGGGGAGAGCGCGATTAACATTATGATCCGAAGATAATTATTAAACGGTGGCTCGTAAAATTTTTAATTTGCAAGTAGGAAATTGGCAATCTAGCGCAAATTAGTTGGCCAAGTAGGAACGGAAATAGCAAAATTAGTGGAGAGCCGAGTCGATTCTTTTTGGTTGTTTTTCGTAGACGCTTTCCCCGTTTCGTGGGTTGACGATGTATATTACGGTTTGTTAAATCAATCAAATTCAAATTACGAGAAGATATGAGAAAAATAATCCGAGATCACGAGGATGAAGTATACACGCAATCCATTAACCTGATGTTAAATGTATGCGAGAGACGCGAGCCCCGGAGTAAACGTCATTTGTTTTAAATTTGATGTGGGTTGGTTCAGTCTAAAATTTTGATTTAATATGTAAACGTTCGTAGAGTTTTGGTTGATTGACGCCTTTCGTCTGGTAAATCGGAATTAACTTGAGTTTGAAGCAACT